GTGTTCTCCAGCCTTGCAGGTACAGGCAGGTCACTCAAAGGCAGCGCGCGGTGAGACAAGCTGCTCCCGACAGCAGGTGGGAGACACTCATCTCCCCGGGGGCCGGTGGGTTTTGTGTGTCTCACAATAGACGTCTGTTAATGGAGTGAGTCAAATGCTAACAAAGAGCCGGTGGAGACCATGGAAGGCAATGAACAGGAAGAGGTAAACAGCAGCGGTTGGGGGGGACGACGACCCTGTTTTCAAATAGAGATCAAAGGTTCGGTCTGATATATCTGGGGGTGCAGAGAGACGCCCTGCCGGTCCTTCAGTCCGTGAGGACAAGCTGCCAGCGGGCTTGATCTTATGAGAGGGCCTCCGCCGACCTGGCAAAGCACGGGGCAAAGGGCCTGGGGAGCTGTCCTGGAGAAGACGGGGGAAGGGCCTGTGAATTAGGGGTCGGCGCTGGAAAGTGGGTTATGATTTTGTTTTATATGAAACCATTTGTGTCCAATATTCTTACTCACTGTCACGTGAATCTCTGTTCTTTGATACCAGATTTATTCCTGTTCTCACGGGATAGAGCGATCTCTAGCGATAGCCAAGTGCTGTGTTACGCGGAGCAATGATCCTGAGTTGAATCTTCTAAGCTGGTGTGTGCTGCTCCTTCAGGAACAGAGGGGCTGAGGCCAGGGCTACACCACAGACATATATCGGTGTAACTACGTCGCTCAGGGGTGCGCCCTCAGCCCCCCTCCTTCAATGAACCACCCAAATCCAAGAACGGGGTTTAATTTCCCTTTTCCAAAAGCGCAAATGAGGGTTGTTTTTAAAAGGTAACAAGTGTGTTTTGAACTAAGGAGCTGCTGGCTGACTCTGCCGGTTCCCTGCCCTCACACCCGGTCACTCAGGAGAGGGACGAGTCATCGCTGAGCTGGGCTCTGCACTCACCAGATGCTGCTGAGCTTGTGCCACGTCTGGTCTCTCACTTCAGGGGCTGCAGCGACGGCTGTTCCACGTCCACTGGATGATCCGATTCAGCTCGGGCGAAATGCTGGGCTGCAGAATTAGAAAGGCCCAGTGGGGCACGGTGCTGATCGCTTGTCCCAAAAGTGATGTGGGATCTTCCCTACGGCCTCCTCCTTATATAGAGTTAGCCCCTTTCGCCCCCGCAACAGCGTGAAAACTCTGTGACGTCAGACCTTTCGCTTTCGGTTTCTTGCTGCTGGAAAGTCCCGAGTGGGGCCAGTTGTGATAAGGTAACAGTCATTACTTTATATTGTATTACGGGAATTATGTTTGGGTGAGTGGAAAAGCAAATCCCCTCTAGAGAGGATTCAGGGGCACACATCGTTTCTAACGATTCAGCGTCAAACGGGAGCAGCCAGAACTTTCTGGGCTTTTCTTCAACGCAGAGTTAACGCCAGAGTTAGGCAAAAAGCTTTTCACACACAACTTTTTTTTTC